GGGGAGGAGAGAGAAGAGAGAGGGGGGGAGGAGAGAGAGAAGAGAGGGGGGGGAGAGGAGAGAGAAGAGAGGGGGGGAGAGGAGAGAGAAGAGAGGGGGGGGAGAGGAGAGAGAAGAGAGGGGGGGAGAGGAGAGAGAAGAGGGGGGGGAGAAGAGGGGGGGGGAGAAAGAGAGAGAGAGAAGAGAGGGGGGAGAGAGGAGAGAGAAGAGGGGGGGGGAGAGAGGAGAGGGGGGAGAGAGAAGAGAGAAGAGAGGGGGGGAGGAGAGAGAAGGGGGGGAGAGAGGAGAGGAGAGGAGAGAGAAGAGAGGGGGGAGAGGAGGAGAGAGAAGAGAGGGGGGGAGAGGAGAGAGAAGAGAGGGGGGGAGAGGAGAGAGGGGAGAGAGGAGAGAGAAGAGAGGGGGGGGGAGAGAGGAGAGGGGAGAGAGGAGAGAGAGAAGAGAGGGGGGGGGAGAGGAGAGAGAAGAGAGGGGGGAGAAGAGAGAGGGGGGGAGGAGAGAGAAGAGAGGGGGGAGAGGAAAGAGAGGGGGGAGGTAGAGAGGGGGGAGAGGTAGAGAGGGGGGAGAGGTAGAGAGGGGGGAGAGGTAGAGAGGGGGGAGAGGTAGAGAGGGGGGAGAGGTAGAGAGGGAGAGTGGAGAGAGAGCGAGAGAAAGAGAGAGAGGAGAAGAGAGAGAGGAGAAGAGAGAGGAGAGAGGAGAGAAGAGAGGGGGGGAGAGAGAGAGGAGAGAAGAGAGGGGGAGAGAGAGGAGAGAGAGGGGAGAGAGAGGGGGGAGAGAGAGGGGGAGAGAGAGGGGGGAGAGGGAGGGGAGAGGGAGGGGGAGAGGGGAGAGAGAGAGAGAGAGGAGAGGGGAGAGAGAGAGAGAGAGAGAGAGGGGAGAGGGGAGAGAGAGAGAGAGAGGAGAGGGGAGAGAGAGAGAGAGAGGAGAGGGGAGAGAGAGAGAGAGAGAGAGAGAGGAGAGGGGAGAGAGAGAGGAGAGGGGAGAGAGAGAGAGAGAGAGGAGAGGGGAGGAGAGAGAGGAGAGGGGAGAGAGAGAGAGAGAGGAGAGGGGAGAGAGAGGAGAGAGAGAGAGAGGAGAGGGGAGAGAGAGAGAGAGAGAGAGAGAGGAGAGGGGAGAGAGAGGAGAGGGGGAGAGAGAGGAGAGGGGGGGAGAGAGGAGAGGGGGGAGAGAGGAGAGGGGGGAGAGAAGAGGGGGGAGAGAAGAGAGGGGGGAGAGAAGAGAGGGGGGAGAGAAAGGAGAGGAGAGGGTGAAGAGAGGAGAGGGAGGCTATACAAGGGAGGAGCTTTGGGCTATACAAGAGGGAGCTATACAAGGGTGGGGTTGGAGCTTAGAGCTCTAGAAGGAGGAGCTACAGGGGGTTGAACAAAAAAACAAAAAAACTTCTGCAAAAGTGACTGCATAGCTCAGTCTCAGTCTTCAGTCACTTTTGCAGCAGCTGTTTTCTTATTCCGGGTCACATTTCTGCGCAATGTCCTTTTGTCTCTGTCAGATGACCCTGCAACATTTTGATGGACCATCCATTACTTCTCATTACTGCGTCATCCCCTTCACTCACCCTCCAGAGCCGCACCAGGATCCAGTTTGTTTGGGCCCACGGCCTCTGCTCATAAGGTGCCAGCAGACTCTTCATCATACTGATCTGCCTGCAGGTAAATAAGAAACTCCGCTAAGAATGTGATCTCATAACAATAGATCTGTGACCTAGTCTCTGTGGAGAGAAAAAAAAAAAAAAAAAAAAGAGGGGGGGAGAAAAGAAAAGGAAAGGAGAAAGGAAAGAAAAGGAAAGGAGAAAGAAAAGGAAAGGAGAAAGAAAAGGAAAGGAGAAAGAAAAGGAAAGGAGAAAGAAAAGGAAAGGAGAAAGAAAAGGAAAGGAGAAAGAAAAGGAAAGGAGAAAGAAAAGGAAAGGAGAAAGAAAAGGAAAGGAGAAAGAAAAGGAAAGGAGAAAGGAAAGAAAATGGAAAGAAAATGAAAGGGGAAAGGAGAAGAGAAAGAAAAGGGGAAAGGAGAAAGAGAAAGAAAAGGGGAAAGGAGAAGAGAAAGAAAAGGGGGAAAGGAGAGAGAAAGAAAAGGGGAAAGGAGAAGAGAAAGAAAAGGGGAAAGGAGAAGAGAAAGAAAAGGGGAAAGGAGAAGAGAAAGAAAAGGGGAAAGGAGAAGAGAAAGAAAAGGGGAAAGGAGAGAAGAGAAAGAAAAGGGGAAAGGAGAAGAGAAAGAAAAGGGGAAAGGAGAAGAGAAAGAAAAGGGGAAAGGAGAAGAGAAAGAAAAGGGGAAAGGAGAAGAGAAAGAAAGGGGGGGAAAGGAGAAGAGAAAGAAAAGGGGAAAGGAGAAGAGAAAGGAAAGGGGAAAGGAGAAGAGAAAGGAAAGGGGAAAGGAGAAGAGAAAGAAAAGGGGAAAGGAGAAGAGAAAGAAAAGGGGAAAGGAGAAGAGAAAGGAAAGGGGAAAGGAGAAGAGAAAGGAAAGGGGAAAGGAGAAAGGAAAGGGCATAAAGTAATTTTTCTTTTTTAAAGCTAAACTTCAGGGAAACCACTAAATATACAGATATAAATATATGGAGTTGTTTTACCTTCTCAAATATTTGTATTCTTGTTCATTAAGTCCTGAGATTTACACAGCTGTGCCATACAGCACAACCCTACCTGGTTTTGCTGTGCTGTAGTTTATTAATGCGGAGTTCCGCTCACCCTGTCACAAAATTAAAAGTCATCAGCTACAAAAATTGTAGCTGCTGACTTTGAAAGAAAAACAGCCACTCCCCTGTCCCTCGGTGTGTCCCCCGCAGCCCGTTTCACTGGCCATCCTGTATTCCAGGAGGCCGGCATCTTCAGTGTGGGCACCCGGCTGTGATAGCTTGCGGCTTCACAGCCGGGTACCCACTGCGCATGTGCAAGTAGCGCTGCGCTTCATGAATAGTCCTGTAGTCTGCTGGGACCTGTCACGTGTCCCCAAAAGACTACAGACAGGGAGGGAGGGAGGACACCTTCCGCTTTCGGTCGCCTAGGCGATCAAACCGGAAGTGGGAGTGGGTACCTGTCAAATTCAGGTACCCGCCCCCCCAAAGGTGCCAATCCTTAATGGGGAGCTGGGGAGCAGTCCTTAAAGCGAAAATTTTCCCTTTTGGTTGGAGCTCCGCTTTAACACTTACAGGCCTTGTCCCTCCCCCAGCCTGTGACTGGACAGTAAAAAGAGAATCAGCAGATTAATGAGCTCATCTCTCTGTCACTCTTCTCCTACCAGCATGTTCTCTGTTAGCACATGAGCACTGGAGCATAACGAGCTGGTAACCTGTGCTGCTTCTGACTTCCCAAGTCTGAAGCTCTGCTGTACCAGAATTGCAAGAAGCAGTCATCAAGTCAATTTCAGATAACTACCCCACTTCCATAAAAAAATTTAATTATATATTACTGAATAAAGAACTGAATTATTTTGTGTATTTTAGATCTGCCTGGAAGTCAGCTTTAAAAAAACCTCCCAAATCACATGGGAATCTTATGTCTCTCCAGCTAAGTCTCGGCATGCAGAAGAGTTCTTTATATAACCTGCCGTGACCCCCGGCAGCTTCCTGCCAGTCATGTTACATGTTGCTTGCTGAGACTTTTAGTTCCACAACACCTGAGATGTCACAAGTGGGAGGAGAACTGTTTGGAGGATACAGTGATCCCATGCATTCAATATCTTTCTGTCCCTTTATTAGTACACCTGTGTATGTATGTATGTATGTATGTATGTATGTATGTATGGTGTGTACAGAGTGCACTCACTGCTCCTCTGAGATCCTCTCCACGGCACGGAGGGAATGGGGGGTAACACACGTAGCTGGCCAGCGCCTGCATAAGGGAGTCCTTGATGTCTGCAGGATAAAGAACAGGAGAGAGGTGAGGATAATAAAAGGGGACACATCTGGTGGAGGGAAAAGATAGGAGACAGAGAGCACCATGCTGCATATTGAACATTCAAAAAGAAAAAAAAGCTGTGAAGTCAGTGACAACCAAATTATTTACTGTATATAAATATCAGTATAAAGAACCTCAAAGAAAAAGATACAGTCTATGAATACTAGGACATGATTTATACATATGTACACAGAGATTGATCTCTCTCTCTCTCTATATATATAATATATATCTCTCTCTCTCTCTATTTATATCTATCTATCTATATATATATTATATACACACACACATACATACACATATACACACACATACATATATACACATACATATATACACATACATATATACACATACATATATACACATACATACATACACATACATATATATATATATAAAATATATATATATATATATATATATATATATATATATATACATACATATATACATATATACATACATATACATACACACATACATATATACATACACACACATGCATACACAAGAGAGAAAAGGACTGCTGCACTTAAAAATCTTTATTGTAGAAAAAAATTACAAATAGTGTTCCAAACTGTATTTGTAATTTTTGGATATAATTTTCTCTACATGACAATGACATTGAAGTGCAGCAATCCTTTTCTCTTGTTACTATAAACGGGCTTAGGAGAGGTGTGCAGTGTATATATAGATTTATTTATTATGTATATAGAAGTATAAAAATTACATTAATTTTTATATAAAATAAGCAATTATTATTACTATATGTATTTATTCATAATAAATGGACAATGGTTATGGAACTCCCTGTGTCCAATCACACAAATTTCACATCCGACACTGATTAAAAAAAAAAAAAAAAAAAAAAAAAAAAAAAGGAAAAAAAAACAGCTCATACATATCTGTACTGGAATTCTAAAAAAAAAACCCCAAGGGGCAGTAATATGTGTATTTATAACTCTTTCAAATTTGCACACCATCATATAGTCATTGAGATAATTCCCCCACAACTGTAATATCACATATGGCATATACAAAGAAAATATCCACAACATCTCCAAAATACGACCGTTCCTAACCCCAGAAACTACTAAAACAACTCATTCACTCCCTTATTATCTCACGACTCGACTACTGTAACTCCCTCCTCATTGGTCGACCTCATCGCAGGCTATCCCCGCTTCAGTCTATCCTGAATACTGCGGCCAGACTCATCCACCTTACCAACAGCTCCGCATACGCCACCCCCCTCTGCCAATCCCTCCACTGGCCTCCACTCAGTGTCCTCCACCCCCCTCTGCCAATCCCTCCACTGGCCTCCACTCAGTGTCCTCCACCCCTCTCTGCCAATCCCTCCACTGGCCTCCACTCAGTGTCCTCCACCCCTCTCTGCCAATCCCTCCACTGGCTTCCACTCAGTGTCCTCCACCCTTCTCTGCCAATCCCTCCACTGGCCTCCACTCAGTGTCCTCCATCCCTCTCTGCCAATCCCTCCACTGGCCTCCATTCAGTGTCCTCCACCCCTCTCTGCCAATCCCTCCACTGTCCTCCACCCCTCTCTGCCAATCCCTCCACTGTCCTCCATACCTCTCTGCCAATCCCTCCACTCAGTGTCCTCCACCCCCCTATGTCATTCCCTCCACTGGCTCCACCCCCCTATGTCATTCCCTCCACTGGCTCCACCCCCCTCTGTCATTCCCTCCACTGGCTCCCGACTGCCCAACACATAAAATTAAAATTAGTAACACTGACGTACAAAGCTATTCATAACACTGCCCCAAACTACTCACCGACCTGATATCCATCTACCACCCAAAATGTACTCTTCGCCCCTCACAAGCCTCCCTACTCTCTAGGTCCCTGGTCTCTTCCTCCCATGCCTGACTCAAGGACTTCTCCAGGGCTTCCCCCATCCTCTGGAACTTACTACCCCCAATCCATCAGACTGTCACCTACCCTCCTTACCTTTAGGCACACCCTGAAAACCCATTTCTTCTGGGAGGCCTACCCCGCCCTCACCTAACTGCCGATCTCCTCCACTCCTCCTACCACTCCATCCCCCACAACCATTTCCTCCTGTGCCACCATCCCCTCCCTCCTAGATTGTAAGCTCCAAGGAGCAGGCCCCTCGAACCCCTCGTGTATTGTATTGTTACTGTATTGTCTCATGTACTGTCCCCCACTATAATGTACAGTGCTGAGCAAACTTTTTGGCCCTATATAAATACTTAATAATAATAATATCACAAAGCGATCGTCTATTAATGAAAAAGTTACAAACAGAGCAGAAAATCAGAGAAGTATGCCTTTAATAAATACATTTTCAGAAAAACAGTTTGCTGTTATTTTAAAGGACTTCTTGAGTCACAGCAGCGTTTATAAATGGCGCTGGTATCAAAAAACTGGTATCCACACTTCCAGCTGCTAGAAGCGTCTGTGTATTCATGTTAAGTTGATTGTCAGCTTTCAGGTGGAAGTGATCTGGGAGGCTATGAAGTCACCTGATCACTTTGCAACATGCCATCCAGAAACCAGTATCAGCACAAGTTAAAACATATATTGACAGCACCCCCACGGATCCTCAAGATTGTGTCTAACAATGTATTAAAGTGATCGCATCACAGCAGTAAATTGCAACAGTTTCGGGGCCACACAGGACCCCCTTTGTTAGACAAAAGAGAAGTGCAAAGAGCCTGATGAAATGGTCCTGTGTGGACAGGAAAAGTTGTGATGTGATCAATATAAGAAATGTTTGAGCACCACGTTGAAGATCCATAATGTGCTGGCGATATGTTAGAAATGAAAAATTCGATTCGACTGATTCGGCGAATTCGTGGACAATATTCGATTCGAGTCGAATAAATTCGCTGTGAATTTAACTTAAAAAAGGGTGTTTCTAGGCTTCAGAGAGACTTAATATTTAGTGCAGAACACTGTACCTTTAATTTAAATGCCCTTGGAGTCTGCTGGGGAAGAGAAATAATACTGTCAGTCAGTATGACATGCAGATGAGTGCCGTCGATCTTAGAATCACCGCACACTTCACTCATTTGGGCAGTCACGGGGCCAAAACCAGAGTGTGGAGCCACAGTGTGGCGGTGGAGGCAGCAGCAATGGGAGGCCATACAGCACCCTATGACAAAAATGGAAACCACCAGCAGTGTGAGGAGACCTGAAAGTGGCACATGGCAGAGTGGCGATAGAGACAGCAGCAATGGGAGGCCGTACAGGGACCCATGACACACTCTGGACCTGGCAGCAGCATGAGGAGGCGGTACAGGGGCCCATGACAGATTACGGGCCTGGCAGCAGCATGAGGAGTCGGTACAGGGCCCATGGCAGATTACGGGCCTGGCAGCAGCAATGGGAGGCCGTACAGGGACCCATGACACACTCTGGACCTGGCAGCAGCATGGGGAGGCGGTACAGGGGCCCATGACAGATTACGGGCCTGGCAGCAGCATGAGGAGTCGGTACGGGGGCCCATGACACACTCTGGACCTGGCAGCAGCATGAGGAGGCGGTACAGGGGCGCATGACAGATTACGAGCCTGGCAGCAGCAACTTGGACAGGAGGACGTTCAGCTTCTGCACCGTCGGGTGCGTGCTCGCAAACTGTTGTCTCTTGGAAACGGATTCCAAGAAAGACTGCTGACGGAATCCGTGAAGAGGAGTAGCAGGAGAAGGAGCATCTGAACGAGCGGAATATGCCAACAAGCGACAACAGTGGCCCATGACAGATTACGGGCCTGGCAGCAGCATGAGGAGTCGGTACGGGGGCCCATGGCAGATTACGGGCCTGGCAGCAGCTATGGGAGGCCCGTAATCTGCCAGCACCCTATGACAAAAAATGGAACCCACCAGCAGTGTGAGGAGACCTGAAAGTGGCACATGGCAGAGTGTGGCGATGAGACAGCAGCAATGGGAGGCCGTACAGGGACCCATGAGAGACTCTGGACCTGGCAGCAGCATGAGGAGGCGGTATAGGGGCCCATGGCAGATTAGGGGCCTGGCAGCAGCTATGGGAGGCCCGTAATCTGCCAGCACCCTATGACAAAAAATGGAACACACCAGCAGTGTGTGAGGAGACCTGAAAGTGGCACATGGCAGAGTGTGGCGATGGAGGCAGCAGCAATGGGAGGCCGTACAGGGACCCATGAGAGACTCTGGACTTGGCAGCAGCATGAGGAGGCGGTATAGGGGCCCATGGCAGATTAGGGGCCTGGCAGCAGCTATGGGAGGCCCGTAATCTGCCAGCACCCTATGACAAAAAATGGAACACACCAGCAGTGTGAGGAGACCTGAAAGTGGCACATGTTTGGGGCATGATTCATGGCGGATTTAGTCAGTTGTGTCAGGAACTGGTGGTTTGAAATCCAGACTAATCCACGCCTGATTCATTTTCACAAACGAGAGTCTCTCCACACTTTGGGTGGACAGTCGTGTCCTCCGCGGAGTTGCAATACCTCCTGCCGCACTAAACACGCGCTCCGATGCCACGCTACTGGCCGGGCATGACAGCCTTTCAAGGGCAAATTCAGCTAGTTGGGGCCAAAGGTCAAGTTTCGTTGCCCAGTAGTCAAGGGGATTGTCTACCTCGGTTGGCAGGGTGCTGTCCAAGTAGGCCTAAGCCTGTTGTTTGAGGTCCTGCTCCAGGTCCACCTGATGCTGCTGCTGCTGCTGCGGCTGGTTAGTAGTTTCCTCACTGCGCTGGTGAAGAAAGCTACTCATCATCGACTGCAGACTGAGGCAGCCGCTGCTGGTGGAGCTGCCACTGCTCCTACCACCCCACCCCCTCCCCTGCTGCCATGGCAGCGGAACACGAGCGAGCGCACAGGGCCCACAGTGTCTGAGGATGGACGTTGGCGCAGACAGGCAGAGACCAGCTGACTACATAGGTGTTTTTTTATAGTACGTTATTTTGGCCTCCCTCTCAGCAGGTGTGAAAAAGGCCACCATTTTTGAACGGTAGCGAGGGTCCAACAAGGTGGACAGCCAAAAGTCATCCCTCTGTCTGATGGTTATTATTCGGCTGTCGCTACGCAAGCAAACGAGCAGCATGCTATGGGCCATTTGTGCCAAGGAATGCGAGGGACTCCCTGCCTCCATCTCCACAGCATACTGCCACGGTGCGTCTAGGTCCTCTGTCTCCTCTTCCTCCTCCTCTACCAGATGCTCCTGCTCCTCCACACTCCTGTCCGCTGAGTGGAAAAACCACCCATTTCACTCAATAATTCCTGAGCACCAATGTCCTCCTCTACCTCCTCCTCTTCTCCTTCCAGTCCCCTGCCCCCACAGGGGCCATGTGGCGTTGAGATCTGTGCGCCACGTCTACCGCACCCTGACCAGCCATTGTTAACAGCATTTGTTCCAGGACGTGCAACAGAGGAATGACGTCGTTCATCCCATAGTCCTGCCGACTCACGAATAGCGTGGCCTCCTCAAAGGGCCTGAGCAAGCGCAGGTGTCACGCATGAGCTGCCAATGGCTGACATCTAAGTTACACAGGGAGTACCTTTTATCTGCTTTTAACATCAGGAAATCTGTGATGGCCTTTTGCTGTTCGTAAAGGCGGTCTAACATATGTAGGGTTGAATTCCACCTTGTTGCAACGTCACAGCATGAGGAGTCGGTATAGGGGCCCATGGCAGATTAGGGGCCTGGCAGCAGTTATGGGAGGCCCATAATCTGCCAGCACCCTATGACAAAAAATGGAACACACCAGCAGTGTGAGGAGACCTGAAAGTGGCAGCAGCAGAGTGTGGCGATGGAGACAGCAGCAATGGGAGGCCGTACAGGGACCCATGAGAGACTCTGGACCTGGCAGCAGCATGAGGAGGCGGTATATAGGGGCCTATGGCAGATTAGGGGCCTGGCAGCAGCTATAGGAGGCCCGTAATCTGCCAGCACCCTATGTCAAAAAATTCAAACACACCAGCAGTGTGTGAGGAGACCTGAAAGTGGCACATGGCAGCAGAGTGTGGCGATGGAGACAGCAGCAATGGGAGGCCGTACAGGGACCCATGACAGACTCTGGACTTGGCAGCAGCATGAGGAGGCGGTATATAGGGGCCCATGGCAGATTAGGGGCCTGGCAGCAGCTATAGGAGGCCCGTAATCTGCCAGCACCCTATGTCAAAAAAAATTCAACACACCAGCAGTGTGTGAGAGAGACCTGAAAGTGGCACATGGCAGAGTGTGGCGATGGAGACAGCAGCAATGGGAGGCCGTACAGGGACCCATGACAGACTCTGGACTTGGCAGCAGCATGAGGAGGCGGTATATAGGGGCCCATGGCAGATTAGGGGCCTGGCAGCAGCTATGGAGGCCCGTAATCTGCCAGCACCCTATGTCAAAAAATTTCAACACACCAGCAGTGTGAGAGACCTGAAAGTGGCACATGGCAGCAGAGTGTGTGGCGATGGAGACAGCAGCAATGGGAGGCCGTACAGGGACCCATGACAGACTCTGGACTTGGCAGCAGCATGAGGAGGCGGTATATATAGGGGCCCATGGCAGATTAGGGGCCTGGCAGCAGCTATGTGAGGCCCGTAATCTGCCTGCACCCTATGTCAAAAAATTTAAACACACCAGCAGTGTGAAGAGACCTGAAAGTGGCACATGGCAGCAGAGTGTGGCGATGGAGACAGCAGCAATGGGAGGCCGTACAGGGACCCATGACAGACTCTGGACTTGGCAGCAGCAGCATGAGGAGGCGGTATATAGGGGCCCATGGCAGATTAGGGGCCTGGCAGCACTATGAGGCCCGTAATCTGCCAGCACCCTATGTCAAAAAATTTAACACACCAGCAGTGTGAAGAGACCTGAAAGTGGCACATGGCAGCAGAGTGTGGCGATGGAGACAGCAGCAATGGGAGGCCGTACAGGGACCCATGAGAGACTCTGGACTTGGCAGCAGCATGAGGAGGCGGTATATAGGGGCCCATGGCAGATTAGGGGCCTGGCAGCAGCTATGTGAGGCCCGTAATCTGCCTGCACCCTATGTCAAAAAATTTAAAACACACCAGCAGTGTGAAGAGACCTGAAAGTGGCACATGGCAGCAGAGTGTGGCGATGGAGACAGCAGCAATGGGAGGCCGTACAGGGACCCATGACAGACTCTGGACTTGGCAGCAGCATGAGGAGGCGGTATATAGGGGCCCATGGCAGATTAGGGGCCTGGCAGCAGCTATGTGAGGCCCGTAATCTGCCTGCACCCTATGTCAAAAAATTTAACACACCAGCAGTGTGAAGAGACCTGAAAGTGGCACATGGCAGCAGAGTGTGGCGATGGAGACAGCAGCAATGGGAGGCCGTACAGGGACCCATGAGAGACTCTGGACTTGGCAGCAGCATGAGGAGGCGGTATATAGGGGCCCATGGCAGATTAGGGGCCTGGCAGCAGCTATGTGAGGCCCGTAATCTGCCTGCACCCTATGTCAAAAAATTTAACACACCAGCAGTGTGAAGAGACCTGAAAAGTGGCACATGGCAGCAGAGTGTGGCGATGGAGACAGCAGCAATGGGAGGCCGTACAGGACCCATGAGAGACTCTGGACTTGGCAGCAGCAGCATGAGGAGGCGGTATATAGGGGCCCATGGCAGATTAGGGGCCTGGCAGCAGCTATGTGAGGCCCGTAATCTGCCTGCACCCTATGTCAAAAAATTTAACACACCAGCAGTGTGAAGAGACCTGAAAGTGGCACATGGCAGCAGAGTGTGGCGATGGAGACAGCAGCAATGGGGAGGCCGTACAGGGACCCATGAGAGACTCTGGACTTGGCAGCAGCATGAGGAGGCGGTATATAGGGGCCCATGGCAGATTAGGGGCCTGGCAGCAGCTATGTGAGGCCCGTAATCTGCCTGCACCCTATGTCAAAAAATTTAACACACCAGCAGTGTGAAGAGACCTGAAAGTGGCACATGGCAGCAGAGTGTGGCGATGGAGACAGCAGCAATGGGAGGCCGTACAGGGACCCATGACAGACTCTGGACTTGGCAGCAGCATGAGGAGGCGGTATATAGGGGCCCATGGCAGATTAGGGGCCTGGCAGCAGCTATGTGAGGCCCGTAATCTGCCTGCACCCTATGTCAAAAAATTAAACACACCAGCAGTGTGAAGAGACCTGAAAGTGGCACATGGCAGCAGAGTGTGGCGGCGATGGAGACAGCAGCAATGGGAGGCCGTACAGGGACCCATGAGAGACTCTGGACTTGCAGCAGCAGCAGCATGAGGAGGCGGTATATAGGGGCCCATGGCAGATTAGGGGCCTGGCAGCAGCAGCAGCTATGTGAGGCCCGTAATCTGCCTGCACCCTATGTCAAAAAATTTAAACACACCAGCAGTGTGAAGAGACCTGAAAGTGGCACATGGCAGCAGAGTGTGGCGATGGAGACAGCAGCAATGGGAGGCCGTACAGGGACCCATGACAGACTCTGGACTTGGCAGCAGCATGAGGAGGCGGTATATAGGGGCCCATGGCAGATTAGGGGCCTGGCAGCAGCTATGTGAGGCCCGTAATCTGCCTGCACCCTATGTCAAAAAATTTAAACACACCAGCAGTGTGAAGAGACCTGAAAGTGGCACATGGCAGCAGAGTGTGGCGATGGAGACAGCAGCAATGGGAGGCCGTACAGGGACCCATGAGAGACTCTAGACTTGGCAGCAGCATGAGGAGGCGGTATATATAGGGGCCCATGGCAGATTAGGGGCCTGGCAGCAGCTATGTGAGGCCCGTAATCTGCCTGCACCCTATGTCAAAAAATTAAAAACACACCAGCAGTGTGAAGAGACCTGAAAGTGGCACATGGCAGCAGAGTGTGGCGATGGAGACAGCAGCAATGGGAGGCCGTACAGGGACCCATGACAGACTCTGGACTTGGCAGCAGCATGAGAGGCGGTATATAGGGGCCCATGGCAGATTAGGGGCCTGGCAGCAGCTATGTGAGGCCCGTAATCTGCCTGCACCCTATGTCAAAAAATTTAAACACACCAGCAGTGTGAAGAGACCTGAAAGTGGCACATGGCAGCAGAGTGTGGCGATGGAGACAGCAGCAATGGGAGGCCGTACAGGGACCCATGAGAGACTCTGGACTTGGCAGCAGCATGAGGAGGCGGTATATAGGGGCCCATGGCAGATTAGGGGCCTGGCAGCAGCTATGTGAGGCCCGTAATCTGCCTGCACCCTATGTCAAAAAATTAAACACACCAGCAGTGTGAAGAGACCTGAAAGTGGCACATGGCAGCAGAGTGTGGCGATGGAGACAGCAGCAATGGGAGGCCGTACAGGGACCCATGACAGACTCTGGACTTGGC